GGCGGCGGCGCGCGTGGGGTGACGGCCGCCGGCGAGGCCGACGAAGAGGGGACGGGGCGTGGCGGGACGGCGACGCGCGGCGACGTGGCGGCGGCGGCGAGCGCGGGCTGAAGCCGGCCAGCGATACCACCTCGACCGCCGCCGCCGACGGGGCTGATCGCGGCGATGTGGCGACAGGCGGCGGTGGCGGCAGCCGCCGGTCTTCGCTTCGGCCGTCGTCGTCGTCGTCGCCGCGGGGAGGCAGCGAAGGCGGCGGCGCGTCGTCGGCGACGGTGACCGCCGGCGGTCGCTGGGGAGCGGGCGGCGGCGCGAGAGAGGGCGGAAGGGCGAGCGGAGGCGGTGGACGGGCGAGAGTCGAAGATGACGTCGGCGTCGGCGTCGGCGTCAGCGTCGGCGTGTACGGTGGTGCGTGTGCGACGGTGTCCCCACCATTGAGCTTTGGCAGTGATATGTAATCCTGAACCACACACGCACACGTACACACACAACACACGAAACAACACACATACACCACACCCACACAAGTGAGTGTCGTGCCGTGTCGCGTGTGCGGTGCGTGTGTGTCACGTGAGTACCATGTCGAACGAGGTGTCGGCGCGCGCGCGGTCGGCCGCGTCGTCGTCGTCGGCTTCGGCGGGCGACGGGAGGGGCAGGGAGGCGGGCGTCTCCCCGCGCGGCCACAGGAGGATGATCCGATCCCCGTCCGCCACCTCGCACTCGCGCGCCGGGTGCGTATGCACGAAGCTGCCCTCCTCCTGCCCACCACATTCCACTCATTCCATGAATACCAAAAATGCCATAAATGCCACGGCAGCATTCCGTACGGAGCCGGTCCAGCGGTAGTAGCCGAGAGGGAGGAAGCCCTTGGTGCCGGCCCAGCGGACGAGCTCGCCGAAGGTGAGCGGCTTGGCCGGTGCGTCGGGGCCGGGGCCGGCGGTGGTAGGCGACTGCTGGGCCGACTGGGCGGCGGCGGCGGCGGCAACGAGGGCCTGCAGCCGGGCGGCGGGGACCGATTGGACGACGCCCCGGACCAGCTGCTCGGCCACCTCCCCCAGCACGCCTTTCTTTGACGCGAAGGCCTGACACCGCACACGCACACACCGCACACACCGCACACGACACGCGCAGTGAGCGACACGACACGCGCATGTGCGTGTGCGGTGTGTGGTGTGAGCGGCACCTTGGCGAGCCAGTAGTCGAAGAGGTCGTAGGTCATCATGAGCGACGAGGCGTGGAGCGGGTGATTGATGGTCTGGTGCTCCCGCTGGGCCGGCGTAAGCTCTTTCGCCGTCCCTGTGTGCCCCCCCCCAACACCACGTCAGCACACCGCGCGTGTCGTGTCGTGTCGTGTCGTGTGCGGTGCGTGTTGTGTCGTGTGCGGTGTGTATTGTGTGCGGCGTGTATCGTGCCTTTGTGATTTTTGCCGACGCAGAGGAGGGTGCGGACGGTGGACCGGAGTTCGTCCTTGAGGACCTGCTGCACCTTCATGATCGACGTGTAGGGCGCCACCCCCGCGTCGCCCTTCCTGCTCTTCTTGCTCTTCCTGCGCACATGTCGTGCCACACATTCCTCAGCTTAGGAATGTGCGCGTGTCGTGTCGTGTCGTGTCGTGTCGGTGTCGGTGTCGGTGTCGGTGTCGGTGTCGGTGTCGGTGCGGTGTCGGTGTCGGTGTCGGTGTCGGTGTCGGTGTCGGTGTCGGTGTCGGTGTCGGTGTCGGTGTCGGTGTCGGTGTCGGTGTCGGTGTCGGTGTCGGTGTCGGTGTCGGTGTCGGTGTCGGTGTCGGTGTCGGTGTCGGTGTCGGTGTCGGTGTCGGTGTCGTGCGGTGCGTGTGGGTACTTTTGTTCTTCGTTCCAGGGCGAGAGGAGGATGACGCTGTGCGCCCTGTCCGCACCCGCCCTTCGCAAGTCGGCCGCCTCTGTCGTGTTGCCCTGCACCCCGCAGTCCACTCATGAGACATGCACGACACACGCCGCACACGCCGCACACACAACAGACGCCGCACGACACGTGTGGAGTTGTGGTGGTGGTGGTGGTGGGGAGGGAGGGGTACAAGAAGGACATAGACGTCGGGGAAGGCAGCGATGCTTTGCCACACGTCCTCGCTCGGCTCTGTCGGCTCCATCAGCACTATCTTGCGCTGCACCATCCACAAATCCTAAATGAGCGTGTCGTGTCGTGTCGTGTCGTGTCGTGTCGTGTCGTGTCGTGTCGTGTCGTATCGTGTCGTGTGTACGCAGGGGAAGTAGTCTCGGCGGAGGTTCTTGACCAGTTGGGGCAGAATGCCGCACGATTCGAGGTTGCCGCCCAGCAGCACGTGCCCGCCGTCGGGGCACACCTCGTCGACGCCGCTGATGCGCGCGTCGCGCAGGGCCACCGGCGCCGCCAGCGAATGGAATCCGTAGCCCGTGCTCCCCGCCGTTCCCAGCCCCGACTCATCTGCACCGCACACGACACACATCGTCACGACACGACACGCACGACACACGCGACGCGACGCGATACGCACGACACGACACAACGCGCACGAGACACACGACACGCACGAGACATGTGACACGCGCGAGAGACGAACCTTTAGAGTTGATGGGGAGGGTGATGCCCTTTTCGATGTCTTTGACGGCGGCGGTGACCTTGTCCCGGGCGCAAACGATGATGGCGGCGTCGGCGGCGGCGACCGGGTAGGTCGGACCCGGGTTGAGGAGCACCCCGCCGGCCTTGGAGTGGACCGCCAGCATCAGCGTCTCTTCCCATTCTTCGCATGGCTGCACACGACACACGCCGCACGACGCGACACGACACACAATCAGTCAGTAACGTGCGTGCGCACGTGTGTGTGTGTGTGTGTTGAGAGCATAGAAGGAGGGGAGGGACCTGAACGAGGGCAGAGAAGCGGTGACCAGCAGACGCCTTGAGCTTGGGTCCCTCGACCAGCTTTTGCGCCAGCCCTTGCCCTACACGTGTACTAGTTAATTATAAGCATTTTTAAAATATAAAGTGGTTTTTTTATTTAAATATTAATATGAATACTATTAAATGAATGATTATGAATACTAAATTAATTGGGCAAAGAACGAAAGCGAAGGGAGGGGGGGAGTGCACGGTAGGGAGCGTAGGAGGGAGCGAGGAGGTCGCTCTTCTTGTCGAGGGCTTGCTCGTGCAGGAGATCGGCGAGCACCGTCGAGAAGCCTCCACACTCGCTATTTTGGGCTATTATTTGCTGAAATAAAAAGAATGAAAGATCTTATATTAAATCCAAGTTTACGATTTAGTTGGGACATGAACACTTCACTGGGGGGGGGGAGTTACAGTGAAGAGGTCCTTGTCGAGGCCCTCCTTGGCCCGCGCCTTCGCCGCACTCATCTCTCGCTTTTTAGATTCACGTTTCGTTCTTTGGTGTTGTGGTTGTCCCTGTTTCTTCTTATGCTGGTGCCGACAATGGTGGGCCAATGGGGACCCTCCATAACCACCTCCTTGTTCCCTTCCGCCAATCCCCATCCAGTTGCAGCCAAATGGTGCAAGAGCTCACGCGTGCTAGCGTTTACTTGCAGTGTCCAGGGGTGGTTAGCTGTAGAATCTTCCAAGGCCGAAGTCGGCCAGCAGGAGCTTGAGCCACGGGTAGAGCCACGAGCCCAAGGCCGAAGCCGGCGAAGTGTTTTGAACCGTCACACTCAGCTGATTTACCCGCCATCAAGCCCCCACGCGCACACGCACAACCGCACAACACACACGCGCGTGATTCAGAGTAAGAACGAGCCACGCACGGCGCGAGTTTGGGTGGTCTGAAAGAGAAACGCCCGTACTTGCTTGGCGGCGCCGGCGGCCGAAGGCGAGGGCGCCACGCTGACCACCACCACCACCGCCGCTCCGGGACTGGGCGAGGGAGACGGCGACGGCGAAGCCTGGCCGACCACCCCGATGGTCAGCAGCAGCAAACAAAACAGTAAAATGGCTGGTTTGTGGCACCGTACCGAGGGCGAGGTCTCGACCACGAT